TTTTGACATATTCGCCCATTAACGTTCTTGTTTTCGCCTCAGCTGCGAAATTATAACTGAAGTAATGAAATGAACTTTACCATGATTAATAATGCAGTTTTGATGTTTTGACAGATTATCCATCGTGATTTGGCTGCAAGAAACGTCCTCTTGGGGAAACATAAGATTGCTAAAGTTTCGGATTTTGGCCTTTCCCGTGATATATACGAAACAGGGTTATATCAAAAAACTACGACGGTAAGCCATCATTAGAGCACATATATGTCACTGTCAACTGTTGGTATGATGATCGGAACGATCCGAAAAAATGTGGAAAACCACGAGTCTTCGAAAGACGGCCCTTTGTTTAAATATTAATAGCGTCCTAGCGTTGTATGGGGAAACACGTGTGTTTTGCATGTAGTTTATACCTACAGTCCTACACACGTAAGAATCTCACATGTTAACAAGATGTGTTCGTAACAGGCCCGTAGCAAGCTTGTCAACAAGTTGTAACAATGTTATCAAGTCGCTGCAAGGTTTTCACTAACAACTTGTTATCAATATGCCTGGCCACGGTGGGAATCGAACCTACGACCTTTGGAATACTAACCCAATGCTCTGCCAACTGAGCTACGCAGTCAGGTTGGTTCGCGTGTGTGATATTTCGGAACCTAATCTAGTTCCTTCACTTCCTTCGATATCAATGTAATCTAGTAATCATGATATTTTCTGTGTTGGTGTTATGTACTCAGGTGAACATGATGCTTGTGATGTTACTCTGAGTGTGTATCCACACCGGGAAAGCTTGAAAAATATGCCTGGCCTCAGTGGGAAATTGGGAATCGAACCTACGACCTTTGGAGTCGGTCGCGGCCAGGCATATTTTTCAAGCTTGCCCGGTGTGGATACACACTCAGAATAACATCACAAGCATCATATTCACCTGAGTACATTACACCAACACTGCAACACAGAAAATGTCATATTAATCCCCGAGCCGGCGGCGCGAAGCGCCGTGCGAGGGTACTAATTCCCCCCGGCTATTTACACCCGGGGAAACGAAAGCATTAGCGGAGTCTAAAGTTCATCAAATATCGCGGGCGTGGGTGACCAACGGTGTTGAGTGGGTGGCATATGGTGGGTGGTCATCCTCACTGATCTCAAAAATATGGCGGACTGTCATGGATAGCGAACACTGATTGGTCAAATTTAAAATTTGTTGTTGTATGACAAATGACGACTTCAACTGACAGATACTCCATGAAAATAATTTGCTTTTTACACTACAGTATTTTGTACGTTTGCAAAAAACTTTGACAGCTTTCAAAGCAATTTGTTCTATAAAAAAGTGTAATAAAACAATTACGGTATCAAATACCAATTGAAAAGATATGGAGCCAAATGAAGAGCGGCAAGGAAACGACAAGAAAGCCGAACGTCTAGCGAAAAGGAGGGAGCGAAGACGACAACGTTTGCTCGAGGAGACTGCTGAGGAAAGAGAAGCTCGCCTGGGAAAGAGTAGAGAAGCATGGAAAAGACTGCTGAGTGAAGCGAAAGGTAAGAAAAGGCTTGTCTTCACAACGCTATGTAGTAATCTACTAATGTTACTGTAGCTATACGAGTTGAAGTATGATATTCGACCCTCTATATTCGACTATTTCTTCACAATTTTCCAATAAAGAATTTGTCAAGACACGCTCAAGTCAGTATAACCAGACTGTATTTTATTTATATCAGTTATCACAGCCACAGGCAATTTTATGCTGTCAAATACCGTCGGTTGCAACTAAAGGTGAACAGTTGCAGATAAAACATTCTCTATTCTCATTAAAAAGCCTGTAAGGGTTTCCAGTAGGTCTCTAGCCCAACACGTTCAGACCACACAAAGTTTTTTTTACTTATTATTGTACACATGGGAAACAACAATTAAGTGTTGTTGTTCTTGACAAACATTGGAGATTCTAATCACGCAAATGTTTTTATGAGCAACTGTTCATCGTTAGTTGCAAGCGACGGTACAACATACTATGAACATTTTTCCGACTGTGACCGAATGTGCAACGATATAATTTTCAAAGTTGTTATCAATTCCTAAAATTTGTTTATAGTAAAAACGGCCTGCTCAGCACTCACTACTCACGTTGATCTGATTTCATTTAGAAATGCAGTTACCGGGAAAGGAACTGATTCTAAAATATGTAAATTTAAAAGCATTGGCTAACAGAATAAAGCGATCGGTGAAGACAAGGTACAAACTTTTATAGTTGCTATTTGTTATAAAATCCTATAAATAAACCGATTCAACAATAATTTTGCCTCGAATTTGCATATTCTATGCTGCATGTTTATATTTTATTTTATTTTTATAGTATAAAAATAAAATTGTAATACTATGAAATAAAATACATTTCTGTTTATTGACCAGTACTTATTTAATGTCTTCTTCATCCAGTGGTCAGAGTAAATTTCTACTTCTAGCAAGTAAATATTTGACAAGCAGTCTGGAATAAGCACAGGACTTTTAATGCATCAGCCAAATCCAAGTGTGTCCCATCCCCCTCGCCCAGCCATTTTCCTGTAAAGCACATCCCGGGGGTTGGGCATTTCCACTCGAACCTTAGCCCCGGTGGGGCATTTGAAATTAATAATTTGGATTCTTGCACTTCACTTGTGGAATTAATATTAGAATGTTAGGGTTTGTAATCCAAGTGAGAATATATGCATGTATATATTTTGTAATCCAAGTGAGAATATTTTGTAATCCAAGTGAGAATATACAAATGTATAGTACATGTATATATTTTGTGTATATATTTTCAAATCCAAGTGAGAATAGTTTGTAATCCAAGTGAGAATATACAAATGTATATATTCTCACTTGGATTACAAACCCTAACATTCCAATTTTAATTCCACCAAGTGAAGTGCAAGAATCCAAATTATTGAAGTCCACCTTATCACAACCCACACACCCGATTACCTAAATATACATGAACTTACGGTTAAAGCTCAACAGCTGGCCTCTGTAGCTCAGTTGGTTAGAGCGCTGCACCGGAATCGCAGGGCCGTAGGTTCAATTCCTACCAGAGGACCTTGTGCTGCATTTTTCGCAGTCGTTCCTGGTTAGGTCTTAAAATGTATATATTCTCACTTGGATTACAAACCCTAACATTCTAATATTAATTCCAACAAGTGAAGTGCAAGAATCCAAATTATCGAAGTCCACCTTATCACAACCCGCACACCCGATTACCTAAATATACATGAACTTACAGTTAAAGCTCAACAGCTGGCCTCTGTAGCTCAGTTGGTTAGAGCGCTGCACCGGAATCGCAGGGCTGTAGGTTCAATTCCTACCAGAGGACCTTGTGCTGCATTTTTCGCAGTCGTTCCTGGTTAGGTCTTAAAATGTATATATTCTCACTTGGATTACAAACCCTAACATTCTAATATTAATTCCAACAAGTGAAGTGCAAGAATCCAAATTATTGAAGTCCACCTTATCAGTTATCACAACCCGCACACCCGATTACCTAAATATACATGAACTTACAGTTAAAGCTCAACAGCTGGCCTCTGTAGCTCAGTTGGTTAGAGCGCTGCACCGGAATCGCAGGGCTGTAGGTTCAATTCTTACCAGAGGACCTTGTGCTGCATTTTTCGCAGTCGTTCCTGGTTAGGTCTTAAAATGTATATATTCTCACTTGGATTACAAACCCTAACATTCTAATATTAATTCCAACAAATGAAGTGCAAGAATCCAAATTATTGAAGTCCACCTTATCACAACCCGCACACCCGATTACCTAAATATACATGAACTTACGGTTACAGCTCAACAGCTGGCCTCTGTATAGCTCAGTTGGTTAGAGCGCTGCACCGGAATCGCAGGGCCGTAGGTTCAATTCCTACAAGAGGACCTTGTGCTGCATTTTTTGCAGTCGTTCCTGGTTAGGTCTTAAAATGTGTATATGCTCACTTGGATTACAAACCCTAACATTCTAATATTAATTCCAACAAGTGAAGTACAAGAATCCAAATTATTGAAGTCCACCTTATCACAACACGCACACCTGATTATAGATATATATTTTATAAATATAGGTTTTGCGATCACTGACAACTTGATAATAATATAAAACAAAGCACTTCTATCTGCAACTTTTACAATCACTGATAACTTGATAATAATTTAAACCAGTCAAGTTGTAGTTTAAATAGAGAATAATACATGGGTGCATGAAATACCAGATTTATTTCGAGTGTTGATCATGAGTGTGCAGCGAACAAGTGGCCGCAGCGAACGAGTGAGATGTCATGTTCAACACGAAAAATAAATCTGGTATTTCCAACCACCCATGTATTTTTCTGTTTATTATATAAAGGACAGTCTTAAATGAAAAGCGATAATTTTTACAGAAAAGCGATAATTGAAAAGGCGATAATTTTCACATGTGGGATTATCATGAATAATTTCACATGTGAGATTATCATTTTTATCAGTGCTTGAAATCTCTGTAAAACACTATACTTTATATAATAAAAATTCATAAATTTGAACCATGCTAGAGCATGACAACAGCAAAATGCTGTATAGTATGATGCACAATATTTTGGGAGGTGAAATACAGGAACAATAAATCACAGAGTGTTTGCTTGGAACTCACTGGGGGGGGGGGGTGCAACACCCCTGATAATTGCTCATAAGGAATTTCAGGTAGATTTCCAGTGCACTGTTAGGTAAAATTAAGTAGATTTGCAGAAGATTTTCAGGAGAATTCAGGTAATTCTCAGGACATGAGAAAGTGAATTTGGAAAACAACTGTATTTTTGGAAAAATTATTATATGTCCTGAAAATTTTTTGTATATCTGGAAACATTTTGGTCACCCCCTACCCCCCTCACACACACCCTGAGACGAAGTGCTCGCAACGGCACTGAGTATACATCTTTTGAAAACAGGCGAGGGGTTATTGCATGCATGTATTTCTAGTAGAATGTTTGAACTTGATGAGATCATGCGACAAAGAGAAAGTAAAATGTTTGCTGAAATCTTAAACAGGTTACGAGAAGGTAAACATACAACTGCTGATCTTCAAAAGCTGGAGGAAAGATGCGTTCAGAAATCGAATTGTCTAGTAGTAGACAAATATAATGAACAAGTATATGAATCATTTACTGATAATAGATATAAAATTAAAGCTCAAGATAGTGTTATTGGGGCAGCTTCAGCTGAACTTAAGGAAAAAATAATGAGGCAAGTAGCTTATGTTCCGTTAAGAAATACTAAACAGTTAGCTCACAAGTTAAAACTTGCTGTTGGGCAACGTACAGAAGTTGCAACAAATGTGCGAACTGATGATGGTCTTACAAATGGGCGAGTTAGATTATAAAGTTGATACAGCTCACTAAGGTGAATAAACCTTCGGGTCTTATCTGGGTCCAAATTAATTATGAACACGTTGGTAGAAAAACTCGTCAAGAAAACAGAACGGTTTATGTCAGAGGAATTCAAAGCACATGGACACCAATTAAACCTGTCACAGCCAAATTTCCAGTCGGTAGAACGAAATCTGCTCAAGTTGTTAGAAAACAGTTTCCATTGCGACCAGCATCAGCAAAAACTGTTCATAGATCACAAGGTGATATTCAAACACAGATTTTTGTAAACCTAACAGCAACAGGGCTTTTCCTCACATTCATTATGTTGCTTTAAGTCGAGTTACAACAATAGAAGAATTATACATCACTGACCTATGTGAAGATAAGATATCTGTTGATCAAAGAGTTGTCAAGAAAATGGAAATCTTGAGAACCGAACAAAGTTTGAATCTTTGTTTCAAACCACTTAATATGTTGGATCAATCTGATTTGAAAGTTTGTTACCTCAATGCAAGATCTCTGCATAAACACATTGAAGATGTTCGAAAACACATTAATTACTCGTCTATGGATATTGTGATATTTACTGAAACAAGGTTTAACTCCTCAGACACTGACGATATATACAACATTAATGGCTACAGGTTGTTCAGAAATGATGTTTCCCAAGGCACGAGTCCAGGACGTCCATGCGGTGGAACAGCTGTTTATAGCCGAGTCCCTTTAAAAGAAGGATACTCTTATGCTCACAACGTCAATGGAATCGAGTTTACAATTATTAAAACAGAAAGTAATCCGCATCTGAATATAATTGGAGTATATCGTTCACCCAATATTGTTATATCACGTCTGCTGTCTTCACTACGTAGCGTACTTGATGAAGATTCTTCTGCACAAAACATTATAATTGGAGATTTCAATGTCAACTGGATGGTAGAATCTGATCGACAGTCACTCTATAATTTGATGGTTGTACAAAATCATTACAGGCAACTGATAATAGGCTTTACAACCGACAATAGAACGTTAATTGATCATTTATACACAAATTTAATTGAAAAGGAAATTGAAGCTGGTATTCTAGAAACTTACTTTAGTGATCATAAAGCAATATTGGCTTCTCTTAGGACATAGAAATAATAATTATATACCGTTCAATTAAGGTATCGCAAAGATAGCAAGCCATTGTGCAACTGCGAATGTTATTAAGGCAAGCCATTGCGTCACTCCCATTCTTATTAAGACAAGCCACTGTCCACTGCCAATGTTATTAAGACAAGCCGCTGTGCCACTGCTAATGTTATAAAAATAAGTCCTTGTGTGGACGATGGCTACATTTAGATAAGTTTTCTTTTTCTCTTCCCCCCTCTCCCTTCCCTGTGTTTATCTGTTTAATTGGGTTTTTTCTTTTTTAGATATCTGTATACATTAACATGGTCACATTAACGATAACTTCAGTCAACAAAAGTACTAAAAATAGAACAATTTTGGTATGTTGCTACGTCTTATTACCATCTAGTCATGTCACGAACAAAGCTCAGACTGTATGGCTTATGAAATTCATGTTACATTATACATAATTGCATCCACTAATACTGTTGCATTAATATTTACAGATATCAGACGTATACAATAATATGCCTCTCATTTGCTTGCGCCTGACAACATTGGTGGATAATTATATTGAATGATGTATCATCTTATGTCAATGAATATTCGAAAATGAGACAATTCAATTCAGCTACCAAAGTTAAAATGTCTAAGTTGCGTCGTTATGTATTCTGAAAATTCAACGTGGAAGACTTGAAAATTAAGAAAGATTCACAGTACTTGAAGATACGACTTGGATATTTGTTGTACGGTACAGTACATTGCACCTGGCTCTGATACCAAACATGTTACAGGGAAAGGCTACTCAACGAAGTCGCACGTACAGTACAAAGAAAAGTTAACGCGTCAAGGAACACTTGATAATTAAGAAAGATGCACAGTAAGATAGAAGTACTTTGTTGTGCGGTACATTGCACCTGTTCGAATACTCATAATCGAGCCAACAACGTGCGTGAGTACCTGTTATACCAACAATGGACTTGATATGCATCATAGTCAACATCTTCAAACTTAAACTGGGTAGAACATGTACTGTAATATGCAATAACATGTGTTCTATTGTCATAGATAAGTGACACGTGTTTTAGTTTTCACTAGCTGAATGTTCGTTATTTATAATTCACGTTGTCATTGACTATTTTTGCCAAGCTTTGGAAATTGTGGAATGGGTTGTAATTAAATCATTGACTTATATTATTTTATATAATTGACTGTAACCCATACTGTAGTTTCAATTTTGTATATACAGTAGCCATCGTCCAAAATAAATCTTATTTAGTATTGTACTATTTGTGTTGATTACTTGATTATTATTATCAAACGTTTCTATCGTTGCATTAGTTTACTAATGAAGTAAGTTTTCTATAGTTGTCTCGTGTTAGAAAGTCGTATTTCTGCAAGCCAAGATTTACGCAAAAATTTGCTTATGACAAAGACAGATAGAGGAGTGTGCACCCACGAAAACATGTGCACCCACCCCCCAAATGGTTTTGTAGATTAGTTAATACAAGGTTTTATTGGCATGCAACATGTACGCGCTGCGTACCTATTTTTTGAAAGTTTGCATGATAGTACACTTTTAATTACAGTCCTGAATCGAAGGCCAAAACTCTGCCTTGATCTGAAAATGTTCATAATTACAAGCCGAAAACATATCAGTGCGGCGAAAAGCAAAACAAAATTTGAAGTTCAAGTTTTCCGGGTATAGGTATCGCATTTCTACATTGGACAGATCTGAATTTCCAATTGATAACTGTCAACCCTCGACATTAATCGAACCTCGTTTAAATTTTGATTTCTCCTGCTTCGGCAGCTGTTAAAATTATTGTACACTACGCATGGGTATTGGGCATGAGGTTAAAATTTATTAATTAAACTTAATATCGGGAAATTTTAATTAGTTTCAACGGCATCCCGCGTGCGCTGTATCGAACTATTTTAATATGTATCAATAAAAGAGAACACACTTGACGGGAAGTCCGAATGGCGAGGTGTACCAATTAATTGTTGAGATGGATACCAAATATCCCTCGCCAAACAATTTGATCACCAGCATTATTTCTTCTATTTTCCGGCGAATATACAATTTTTGAAATTGGTGTCTTAATTGGGTAAAAACTTGTCTGTCGAATCGGTTTTTGAAAGCTTCATAGATACATTTTCAATTACAATCATGAATGGAAGGCCATGAATGCAAAGAATAAAATAATTTGTCCTGATCTGTAAATATTCGAAATTACAAAGCTGAATATATCAGTACGCGGAAAAGCAAAAGAAAAAACTTGAGGTCAAGTTTCTTGACGAGGGGTACTAAATTTTGATCTTATTTAGATCTGAATTTTCAATTGATAACCCTCACCATTCGGACCTCGTTTCAATTTTGCTTTTCTCCCACTTTTATACCAGTTAAAATTGTTGGACACTTCGCATGTGGGATGAAGTTAAAATATTTTAAACTTAATATCAGCAAGTCTTAGTTCCAACGGCCTCCTGCGTGCGGAGTAATGATCAATTTTAACATGTATTAATCTTATAAATAGAAGAAGAAAACAGAATTAAAGCGAGGACCGAATGCCAAGGATTCCATGGCGAGGGTTACGTACCACGAGGGTTACCAACAGTGGCGGCGCCAGGCCTCAGAATTTGGGCATTTTGGGGAGCAAACTCATATTTTGGGGGCAAGATGGAATTTTAAAAGGTACTGCTATTTGCCCATGCCCGTTGTCTGGGACTTTTGTCCCCGGAGATTCACCCCCTCTCAAAAGGGGACGATATTCCCTAGGAATACCGCCCCGAAGGACGAATATCTAGGAATATCATAGAGGGGCGAATGCCTCAGGAATATCTCCCCCTTTAGGATATTCGCCGCCCATATATGCGATGCGGTTTATTCCAATAATTTCGTGATACTTTCATCTTATTAGTGCCTTAAGTCCCATACAGACCGGACTCTATTTGGCAACGTGACGCGAATTTAAAGTTTTCAATGACATTTAACTTTAATATTTTTCATTGTTTTTCAAATATTCGGGACCACTTAGCAATTTTAGCTATTTGGTCTGCATACCTTGTAAAATTTTTGAAAAATCAGTGATACCACTTTAACCACAATTCAAAGCGCTACGAAAACGTAATAAGGGCAATCATCAATTGGTGTTTTAATACGGTAGAAACTTTAAAGCTTGACAGTACGCTTTAAATCGCAGTCATGATTGAAAGACCAAGATATACTGTAGAAGACTTTTCCTTCAACTGTAAAACAGTGTTTGAAATGACAATGCTAAATGTATATTAGTTTGGTGAAAACCTTCCCGAGGATCGCAGGCTCGGGGAACGAGATTGCTGTGAACTCTGTACTCGGTAGATGACGCGCAACGACGATCGACGGCCGGTATATGCAACTTTGCTTCGCACGAAACGTTGTTTTGCGGTACTTTTCAAGTAGTTGATTTAATCCATAATTTATATGGATTTCAAATTTCAAATTGATAACCGTCAACTCCCTCCATTCCGTCCTTTTTTAATTTTTGCTTTCTATTCCTTTCAGACCTGCTAGAATTGTTTCTCACTGCGCATGCCCATGGGATGCATCCCATTAAAATTAATATCGGGAAGTCTACATTAAGACCGGTTTCCATTGCAGTCGCTCTGCCCGCGCGGGAGGAGCGGGCTTTGAAAATCCGTTTACGCGGGCGTGACGGCGTCAAAAACAATGAAAGCCTCGCCCGCGCGGGCAAAGCGAACGTTAATGGAAAACGGCCTTTAGTTTCAACCGCATCCCGCGTGCGCAGTATCCAAAAATTTTAACATGTATAAATGGAAGAGAAAAACACAGTTAAAGCGAGGTCCGAATGGTGAGGGTTACCAATTAATTGTTGAGGTGGACACAGAATTTCAACAAACATGTAATACCCCTCGCCAACCAACTTGACCTCAACTATTTCTTCTATTCTCCGCTAATGAACTCTTGTAGTTGAATTTATACGGCAACGAATAGAATATTTTAGAAGTGTCGAATCGTTTTTAAAAGCTTGCATGATAGCATACACTTTGAATTACAGTCCTGAATCGAAGGGCAAAATATACAAGACTCTGCCTTGATCTGTAAATGTTCATAATTACAAGCCGTAAACATATCAGTACGGCGAAAAGCAAAACAAAATTTGAAGGTCAAGTTTCCCGGGTATAGGTATCTGATTTCTACATTGGACAGATTTGAATTTCCAATTGATAACTGTCAACCCTCGACATTAATCGACCCTCGTTTAATTTTTTTCTCCTGCTTCGACAGCTGTTAAAATTATTGTACACTTCGCGTAAGTATGATGTTTTAAAAATATCTATAAATAAAAGAGAAAAACACACTTGAAGGGGGCCCCGAATGACGATGTGTACCAATTAATTGTTGAGATGGATACCAAGTATATCTCTCGCCAACCAAATTGGACCTCCACTATTTCTTCTATTTTCCGGCGAATATACAACTTTGAAATTGGTGTTTTATTGGGTAAACACTACAGTTTTGAATCGTTTTAAAAGCTTGATAGTACACTTTGAATTACAGTCATGAATGGAAGGCCAAATTATAAAATAATTAATTATTAATTAATTATTAATTATTAAACAATTAATTAATTAATAATTTAATAATTATTAAATAAATAAATAAATAATTAATTAATTAATTAATTAATTAATTAATTATTTATTTGAACACACTACACAAGACTATCAAATTCGAATTTGAATACTCTACTAAGACTGTACATTTTCTAGACACAAGGATTTATGTCAACGAACAAAACAAACTAGAATCAGACATACGTATACATCAAACCAACAGACAAGACAATGTTACTACATAACACCTCTTTTCACCCAAACACTTGTAGTAAACAAGGCGTAATCTACAGCCAGGCGCTACGCTACAGACGAATCATCACATATGACACAATACTACGAAACCAATCAATCAACAACAACCCTGCAATCAACAACAAAAAACTTATCGAGCAATCAGATTACTAAAATTCGACGATTATCTTTTTCATAAATTTCAGCCAACTACTACTCTGTTTCAAGCATTTCTCATTCTTTAGAGATCATGCAAATTTGAAAAAACATATTATTTATAAATCAAATAGCTACAAACTATAGGGAAAATTGCATCCCATCAACATTACATCACCGAGGTTTAAACAAAGGAATATGAAATCCTAATTAATTAAATTGATATACACAGTCGGTGTATATAACCACACAATATAAAAATGATCCTACTATGCACTCGCGCTAATTTGTATATAATAATATAAATACGCATCATGATGTACATAATACTATTAATATTTTTACGAGTGTTTATGTGGTTTTTTTATGTTTTATATGCACTTTTTCTAAATGCATATGCCTGGTCCCAATGCAATTCCCTCTTTCACCAACTAGCTCGGGGGCGAACACGCAATTCCCACACTTATGTCTAAATAAAATTGTTTTTTACACATTCCTTGGTTATCGGCACATCACACTCTAATTATACATACAAACTGATACCTAATTAACACCTGACAAACATGCACGCTATCAAACACATGACGTCAACTATTCAAGAACAACTTACTAAAACAGGACTTCAGGGGCCCAACACCCATTCTTGAATACGCACATTTGGCGAACAACCAAAAAAACTAAAAGGAGAACTCCAGGGAATTGAAATTAGTCAACCCCAAAAGTAAAATGCTTGGGCGATGCGGAATTTCACCAAGGTCAACTTGAAGGTCAACTTTCTTGTCGAGGGGTACTAAACTTTGATCTCATTTAGATCTGAATTTTCAATTGATAACCCTCGCCATTCGGACCTCGTTTCAGCTTTGCTTTTCTCCCCCTTTAATACCTGTTGAAATTGATGTACACTTCGCTTGTGGGATGAGGTTATAATATATTAAACTCAATAACGGAAAGTCTTTGTCTCAACCGCGTCATGCGTGCGTCGCATCCAACAATTCCACACTTATAAATAGAAGAAGAAAAAGCACACTTTAAACGATGTCCGAATGGCAAGGGTCACCAATTAATTGTTGAGATGGATACAGAATTTCGACAAACATGTAATACCCCTCGCCGACCGTTAACCTCGACTATTTCTTCTATTTTCCGGCCTAATCAACTCTTAGAAGTAAATTTACACTGCAACGCACATAATATTTTTGAAATTGGTGTTTTAATCAACTTGAGTGTCGAATCGTTTATTATGTTTGTTAAAAGCT